ACACTATCGTATATTAGTTTGCCAATTATTCGGGAGACGTATATCACACTAGCCTAACTATATGGGACAAGCTCGACCTATCGACTGTTGGCAAAGAACTTGAACTTGGGTCAATTGGCAGAAAATCACTTGTTTGACAAGGGAATTCGAACTTGTGTTAATTGACACAAATTATGTTGGAGCATTTATAAAAAAAAACACACTATCTATCCCACATTGATTTTTCAAATTTTTTTCTAGCTAGTATACAAAGTTTTGAGAGATTATGTAAAGTTTGAACATGAAAGGTAACCATACATTTTGAAATTAGTATTAGTAGAAGATTTTTTTACCCTTAGAAATGCGAGACTATTTTTGTCATTTCATAAGTCGCAGAAGATGTGGCTGTTGAATTTTACTTGAAGGGATTTGGGTATAGAACTTTTTGCATTTAAATGGTTTTTTTGGGCATTATATGAAATTAGCCCCAAAGTAAATGAGACTATTTTTGTCATTTCATAAGTCACAGAAGATGTGGCTGTTGAATTTTTCTTGAAGGGATTTGGGTATAGAACTTTTTGCATTTAAATAGTTTTTTTGGCATTATATGAAATTAGCCCCAAAGTAAATTAATAAGTACCGAAATCCTAATGTACACGGGTTCCATATTGTTCTATGTGTTATACCTGATTGATTGGTTTACAAATGAAACTTTTCACTAATTCATACTACTTGACCTTCATAATGAGTTGATGGAATTGATTTAATCAACGATTGGGAGTAGGAGTAGCTCTACAGAGCACTCCATGAATGTTTCTAGGTACATTCTAAAAGGCAAGTATCATGAGAGGTTTATAGGGAGCTCCTAAAAATCTCTCTAATTTGATGACAATTTTATGAATTCCTAGTTACAAGTAGTCTACTTTGACCTTTATCTTGTAGTCTAGTTTTCGTAGTTGAGTGGGAACCTCTTTAACCGAAATATAGTAAAATCTGGATTAAAAGCGACGAAATGTGACACCTTAGCCTCCTATCATGTTGCAAAAGTTATTCATGATTATAAGATATTATTTTTACAAATGCCTAATATAATTTTTTTTTCTTCTTTTGCTGATATTATGGTGAGGTCGACAGTTTAATAACACTATTAAGCCTATTATACTTTGGTTAACAGTAAAATAACAACATTATTATAATGTTGTCAACAGTGCAATAGCTACTACGTCGTGGCCAATTGTAAAATAACATTATTACGTGGTGATGAACAGTTTATGATGCACCATAATCTCATATATATACAAGCCAAAAAACACATCTTATGATCATATTGCTTCAAAGCATGGAGCTCGAATGGGATAAAATGGGTGCCAAAATTGAGAATATTTCATATAATCTATAATGTTCCACTAAATTTGGCACCGCAAGAATGGACGTATAAGAAGATTAATAATTGAAGGATTGTTGTAATTACCCAAACAGGAGAGGGTTTTCGTAATCCTACCATACCTCAGCGTTGGTTGTAATTTACCCTTCAAATTATAATGTAGTTAAACAATTCATATCAACATTATATAGTAAAATATCGTTGTTACATTTGATCAAATTATAATGTAGTTAAACAATTCATATCAACATTATATAGTAAAATATCGTTGTTACATTTGAAGGGTATTTTCGTCAATAGTAATATTTTTTTGGGACACGTGTAAAAGACACGCCGTCTGTTATAATAACGAAAACCCCTTGGCCAAGTTACCTTCTTTAAAAACCCTCTCTCTCTCTAAAACCCTTTCTCTCTCCCAATTTCTAAGCAAACTATGGTGGTGACCTCCGATATCAACCGTGAGCCATGTCCGGATCGCATACTCGACGACTGCGGCTCCGGCTTCGCCATTGGCGCCGTCGGCGGCTCCGCCTTCCACTTCATCAAGGGCATGCACAGCTCCCCCAGGGGCGAGCGCCTCTTCGGCGGCGCTCAGGCCGTGCGCATGAGCGCACCCCGAGTCGGCGGCGGCTTCGCCGTGTGGGGCGGACTCTTCTCCACCTTCGACTGCTCCATGGTTTACATGAGGCAGAAGGAGGATCCGTACAACTCCATCATCGCCGCCGCGGCCACCGGCGGACTCCTCTCGATGCGCCACGGCCTCCGCGCTTCGGGGAAGTCGGCGCTCATCGGCGGCGTGTTTTTGGCTCTAATTGAGGGCGCAAATATTATGTTAATTAAAGCCCTGGCTCCTCCGCAGGAGGGGCAGATTTTGGTCGAGGATCTTCCCGGTGTTCGGGTCCCGCAAGAAGCGGCGGCGGCGCCGCCTTCATCCTCTTGGTTTGGGGGTTTATTCGGCGGAGGAAAGGAAGAGGAAAAGAAGAGTGGCGGCGGAGTGAAGACGGAGATTCTGGAGAGCTTTGATTCGCCGATTCCCCCAACTTTCGAGTTCAAGTGAGTTTTTTTTTTTTTTTTTTTTTTCCGGGTTTTCGGGTTTTCGTCGATTCCCCCAACTTTTATTTTTGGGAATTAATTTATAGGATAATGTTTTCTATAATTTAATGAGTGGATAAATTCTCATGTATATATGTGTTGGAGTACCATCTTTTATAAGATGATAATGAATCATCTATTCAAGTTAATTGCTGAAATTGTGTCTATAGGTTTATTTATTAGGTACATTATGGTTAACATATCAAATTACGAAAAAAAAAATCTCTCATGTTTAGGTAATTATAACTATTCATCAACTATGAATTTTCTTACACGTCCACCCTTATGGTCTCAAATTCAACAAAATCTTCTAGAGTCAGTGGAATGTTCTCTAGTTTGTACTCTTTTTGTGCATAAAAATGCAGTTTCTGATGCACAACAATTTGATATTTACAAGCCTAGAGACACATCTTATGATCATTTGTGTTTCAAAATATGGAGCTCGAATGGGGGTAAAACGGGTACAAATTGAAGAATATTCGACATAATCTAGAAGATTCCACTAAATTTGACACCACAAGAGTGGACGTGTAAGAAGATTCATAGTTGAGGGGTGACTGTAATTACCCAAACATGAGGGATTTTTTTGCAATTTAACCTACATCGTGGGGGTGGTCGTTTATTTACCCTTTATTTATTCATCATCTTTTTTTTTCTTGTTCTTGATGCTCACCAAAATTCTATGTTTGTGCAATTCGGTTGATCGGCAAGTTGCGTTGTTCCGTTTAGTCCTAAATTCTAATCAAATCATGGCCGAGTTGCTGTATTGCACTGTTCGTTTTTTGTTTTGTTTTCCGGTCGCGATGATATATGACCGGTTGAGGAATCTTCGAATCAAGTTCTGTTAAATGACATTAACTCCATGGGAATTTAAGATTGTAAAACTCAGAAAGCCAACTTACGTATAGGTGTTCAAAAGCTTAGCCCTTAAAACATTGACTTACAACCCGCGCGCCTAGAGCTGAAAATCAAACCAAACTACTCGATTCGAGATCGTTCGTCAAAAGCTCGATTCAAGCACAATTTTAAAAGCTCGATAAAAATTCGGACAGGCTTGAATACACATTGGATTCGTTTACACCCCTACACGCGCACTAAGAGAGATTCGAACGTCGGACCTCTTAACAAACACCACTATTAAAGAGACTACAAATTTAAACTTTCTTTGTCGGAATGCTCCAAGAACAAAACCCTATCTCTAAATAATGTTTTTGATAAATATAATACTGTTGAATTGTGATAATTTCATTAACAATGAAAATTTTAAAAGTATTATTTCAAATTTGTGAGAGCTAAATTAAAGAAGTACCCTTCAAACCCCTCCCTTTAGGTCAGAAGTATGGCATTATTGTAATTACAATCAAAGTCAAAGTTTTATAGTGGGGAAAGAAATATGTAATAATCTTATAAGTATAGAGACAATATTCAAAGTTGTTCACCATTTTGCCTAGACTAGTTTAGTTTCCCCATTCAACATAGGCGACACTTGTTTTTTCGTTTTTCTTTTTTTTTTTTTTTTTTTTTTTTGAGTTTGAATAGTTTTGGAAGCTTCTTGCCTGCAGTTTGTGGATATCGTTGGTTCTTGTCATTGGTTGGTGGTACAATTGTAAATATTCTTTGAAATTTAAATATAATAATATCGGTACGTATTTATTCATTGCCTTAATGAAAATGGCGTGTAGTATTCACACAAGAAGCTTCTAAATTTGAATCTTATCGATCTATCAGATGTTACACCTGCTTGAAAGTATCGGTAATTTTGCATCACAAATCTATATAAATAATCACCCAGGGAGTTACATAATGCACCTGGTTATTTACGCTTGGTGAATTATTTGCAGATCTACGATTTGTAACATCTAATTTTCCATCCGGTAAGTACACATACACATGGAATTGCGTGTTATTATGTGTATATGAATAGAATCACCCGTATTTCACAGTATTTGAATACTCAAAAAGTAATTCATAGACCAACCGTTTTTATTATTTATTACTCCCTCCTTCCCTCAATAGTTGTCACTTTTGTTAGTTGCACACATATTAAGAAAATCAATAAATAGACATAGATATTAACAAAAAATATAGTAAATCACTAATATGCCCATGCCATTAATTGATTTTTAACTAACTATATTTTAATTAATTATGAATGAGAAGGGCAAAATTGAAAAATTGCAATAAATAATTCATTGGAAATACTAAAATGACAAATAATTTGAAACATAAAAAAATGGCAAAAGTGACAATTATTAAGGGAAGGAGGGAGTATTATTTAAAAAGGAAAAACGTGAATAATCCAAGAACTCTAACATTATTATACAAGAGCACGTAATCACGTTGGTCAAAGTCAACTGCTTATACCCCTTTCGTTACAACTTCCTCTCTCCTTCACTTTTCACATTACAAAAAAAACAAAAAACAAAAAACAAAAAACAAAAAACAAACTTCCATTCATCCTCTACACCACCTAAAACAACCTTCTTCTCCATCTTCACTCTGTAAACTTCACTCCATGCCCATCTCCCAAAATGACCAAAATACCCCCACCACCCTCCCACATACTCTTCACCTTCCTTCTCCTCACCCTACCCTTCCATGTAAAAACACAAAACAATACTACCCTTAATCAAGAACAAGCCATTCTTCTCACACTCAAGCAGCAATGGTCCAACCCCGCCTCCCTCAGCCACTGGACCCCATCTTCCGACCACTGCACCTGGCCGGAGATCACCTGCACCGCCACTTCCTCCGTCACAAAACTCGAACTCATCAACAAAACTATCGCAGAAATCCCACCGTCCATCTGCCGCCTCGAAAACCTCACACACATTGATCTCCAGTGGAACGAAATCACCGGAATATTCCCCACCGCCCTCTACAACTGCACCAATCTCGAGTACCTGGACCTCTCTTACAACTACTTCACCGGAAAATTACCGGACGACATAAACCTTCTCTCTCCACATCTCCGATTCTTGAATTTGGGAGTCAACAACTTCACAGGCGACATCCCGAAATCGATTGGGAGCTTATCGAGCCTGGTAACTCTTCAGCTGTACACAAACTTGTTCAACGGATCTTTCCCGCCGGAAATCGGTGACCTGGCGAATCTCGAAGAATTAAATTTCAACTACATCCCTTTTGCGCCTCAATCGATTCCATCGAGTTTCACTAGGCTGAAGAAACTGAGGAATCTTTGGATGACTGCAACGAATTTAATCGGAGAATTACCAGACGGTATCGAAAATATGTCGGCTCTCGAATCTGTTGACTTGTCGGAAAACAACCTGAGTGGCACTATTCCAGATGGCTTCTTTCTACTCAAGAACTTGACTATATTGTTTCTATACAAAAACAGGTTTTCGGGTTCGATTCCTAAAAGAGTGGAAGCGTTGAATTTGCAGATTCTTGATCTTTCGGATAATACTTTGAACGGGACAATCCCGGATGATTTCGGAAAGTTGACAAATCTCACAGGGTTGGCTTTGTATTTCAATCAGCTGAGTGGCAAAGTACCGATAAGTTTAGGTCGATTGCCAAAGCTCGTAAACATCGGAATTTTCAACAACAACCTGTCGGGCGAATTGCCGCCTGATTTTGGGCGGTACTCGATGCTGGAGAGATTCCAAGTTTCCTCAAACCAATTTACCGGTGAAGTACCAAAATATCTCTGCGCAAATAAAGTCTTCACAGGTTTGATTGTGTTTCAAAACAAGCTGACAGGAGAATTGCCCAATTCTTTAGGCGATTGTAGCAGCTTGGAAGTTGTACGAGCCTATGATAATAAGTTTTCGGGCAAAATCCCAGATGGATTATGGACGTCTACAAATTTAACCACATTGATGCTGAGCAACAATTCATTTTCCGGTGAGCTTCCGAATGAACTAGGATCTCGATTATCCTTGCTCGAGCTGACAAACAACCAGTTTTCCGGCCCTATTCCGACAGGAGTATCTTCTTGGAATGGACTCACGGTTTTTCGGGCGAGCAACAACTTACTCAGCGGTGTAATCCCTCAAGAACTTACTGCTCCTCCATTGCTAACCACTGTCTTGTTGGATGGCAATCGATTTTCCGGCCACCTCCCATCGGCGATAGTGTCATGGAAGCTCCTGACGACTTTGAATCTCAGTCGGAATCAACTTTCCGGCGAAATTCCCGCCTCGTTCGGTCTGTTGCCGGACCTATTATATTTGGACTTATCGGAAAATGGATTTTTCGGCCAAATTCCACTGGAACTCGGCAATTTGAGGCTGTCTTCACTGAACCTCTCCTCTAATAGGCTCACTGGGAGAATCCCGAGTGAGTTCGAAAACGGAGCCTTTAACAGAAGCTTCTTGAACAACCTCGGACTCTGTTCCAATATCCCGTCAGTCGGACTCAGCAATTGTCGGATTAAAACTACAAAATCGAACAAGCTTTCATCTCAATTCATCGCTGTGGTCTCGAGTATAGCAGCAGTGGCTTTCCTAGCAGCCTTTCTATACACAATCTACGTGTGCAGAAGTTACAGAAACAAAAAGAAAGTTTCCGATTCGACATGGAAGCTCACTTCATTCCAGAGGCTGAATTTCACAGAAGCAAACATTCTGTCAAGATTGACCGACGACAACTTAATCGGAAGCGGAGGATCAGGCAGAGTTTACCGTGTTCCCATAAACCGATCCGGCGAATACGCAGCTGTCAAGAAGATATGGGACAATGTGAAGTTCGATCAGAAGCTCGAGAAAGAATTCATATCGGAAGTTTCTATACTCGGCACAATTCGACATTCCAATATAGTGAAACTCCTCTGCTGCATTTCGGGTGAGAATACAAAGCTTCTTGTTTACGAGTATATGGAAAACCACAGCCTCGATAGATGGCTCCACGGGAAAAAGAGACAGCTCAGCATCTCATCGGGTTCTGTCCGCCATATGGTATTGGACTGGCCCAAGAGATTGCACATTGCAATCGGAGCAGCTCATGGGCTATGCTATATGCACCACCACTGCTCGCCTTCGATTATCCATCGAGACGTAAAATCGAGCAACATACTTTTGGATTCAGATTTCAACGCAAAGATTGCAGATTTCGGCCTCGCGAGAATATTGATCAAGAAAGGAGAGCCTAATACAATATCGGTTGTGGCTGGCTCTTTCGGATACATGGCTCCTGGTATTAAGCTTTCTCTTCTTTTTTTTTCCCACTCCGTCGGATTTTTTTTATTTCTTTTTGGCTTATGTTTTCTAAAAACCGTAAATTTTCAGAGTATGCTCAAACGAGAAGAGTGAGCGAGAAGATCGACGTGTACAGTTTCGGAGTGGTTCTCCTCGAGCTGATAACTGGAAGGGAGGCTCATAGTGGAGACGAGAATTCATCACTTGCTGACTGGGCGTGGCGGCACGTCCAGCAAGGCAAGCCGATAATCGATGCGTTGGACGAGGATATAAAGGAGCCTACTTATTTCGAAGATATAAACACCGTTTTGAAGCTGGGATTCATCTGTACCAGCAAATTCCCTTCGAGCAGGCCTGCAATGACAGATGTTTTGCAGATCTTGCTTAGGTGTAGTCAAAGGCTGCCGTTAGCAGATAAGACGAACAGAAACGAATACGATGCTGCTCCTCTCCTATTGAACAGCAATTCCAAGAGATCGTTCGAATCCGATGACGGCAGTTTATCTCCCGTGTGACGATGAGTTAGCTTTTATACTAGATAGGTCTCGAGATTCTTGAATATAGCAGGATATGTTCTCGGTCGAATTAGCTTCCCGTATGAAGTTCCAATGCACAGAGTTTATACGATATGCATATTACATGTATATAGAAGTAATAAAAGATGTTTCCGTTCAGACTTCATATGTAATAATATTTCAGGATGTTAGTCAATCAAACACAGAAATGGTTGTCACACTAAAACAAGATTGAAAATTTGAAGTTTAGATTGCACTTTTTTTTTTGTTTTCTTCTCAAGCATATCGAAAAGAAAACAAGCAGAGAGTCATCCACCGAGTTCTGCACGGGTTGGAATAACGGGGACGAGATAATTCCCAAACGGCGAGTCGAATATTTTAAAATTGCCTGTGCAACAATCCTGCTGTGCTTGAGCCACTGCAAAGCACTTTGCCTGTTGAATCTTTAGATCGACATTACTCGGTTGAATTTCGACAGCCTAAAACATCCAAATGTGTGAGTTTACAACATAGCTGAATCAACCAACAGACGCAGCTACATACATATAATAAACTAATTGCAAGAACAAAACACTAACAAAAATACCATTGATTTCCTCACATGGGTCAAATTCACTTCTCTCTTCTCGGCTGGTACGACGCCGTGTGTGTAATAAGAAGGGCTGATCATATATAAACAGGGTTTCAGTAACGTATTGCAATTCGATAACACCATTGCTACAATCTCTTGCGGAAAAAAAATTCAAAAAAAAAAAGATATTGATGGGAAGAAGATCCCGAAAACATGAAACCAAAATTAATTACCTGGAAGAAGGTGCGGAATCGAGTTTCTTCCGCTTTGGTGGAGGTTTGAATTTCATCGAATTAGGGTTTTTTTTGTTCTTCGAAGATTCGAATCAGATCCTCTCACCAACTGATATTTGGGGGAAATACCATTTTACATTTGTACTTATTTTGTTCGGGTAATTTGCACTTTGCACCCTTGCATTATAGACTTTATCATTTTGCACCTTTAAATTGAAATAATAACACTTCGCATCCTTCAATTACAATTGTTTTGATTTGCACCCTTGAATTATAGACTTTATCACTTTGCACCTTTATATTCAAATAATAACACTTTGCATCCTTCAATTACAATTGTTTTGATTTGCACCTTTAAATTATAGACTTTATCACTTTACACCTTTAAATTGAAATAATAACATTTTTGTTCATACATATAGCAGATAAATTCATCAACCATTAGCATATGGAGATATTATATGACCCTTTAGAATCTATTAAAATGCTTAAGATGTTACTGATGTAATGATTTGGAAAATTTCACTTTTTAATCCCTCAAGTTTACCTCAATTTCACATTTAGTTCTGCTTATTCACGAAATACGTATTTAATCCCTACTGTTTCAACAACTTAGTATTTTGTCATTTACGTTAATTTTTCGTTAGTACTAACAGAATTAAACAAGTGCTTGTCACTATTTTTAAATGATAAACTAACAGTAAATTAACATAAGAAACTAAAAGTGTTAAATTGTTAAAGGGTACAATACATCCTCTACCACATCGTTGTTAACCACCAAAGTAGACACGGCCACGGGCCGGTTCGGGCCGGTTCGGACCGGTTCACGGTTCACATTTTCCGGAACCGGAACCGGCCCGTGGCGTGCACGGTTCACCGGGCCGGGTCGGCCCGCCGGTTCGGGCCGGTTCACGGGCCTATCCGGGCCGGTTCCGGGTCGGCCCAGAAATTTTGAATTTTTTTTTTTTGTTTTTTTGTTTTTTTTTGAAATATTTAATGAATAAGTAAATTAAAAGAAATACTTTTAAATAGATAAATGAAAAGGAAATCAATGAAAAGTCAATTTAGAAGCACAAGTTTGAAATATTTGATGAATAAGTAAATTATAGAAAAAATTGGGGTGTGAGGGTATTTATAGGGAAAATTGGGGGGGTTTGGGGGCAAAAAAAATTCAAAGAAAAAACAAAATTGAGGTGTGAGGGTATTTATAGGAAAAATTGGGGGAAAAAAAATTCAAAAAAAAATAAATAACGGCCGGTTCACCCGGGCCGGTTCGGGCCAGTTCACTAGCCGTTATTTGCTTTTTTTTTGAAGTTTTTTGAATATATATATATATTTTTATTTTAAATCCGGGTGAACCGCCGGGCCGGCCCGGCGGTTCACGGTTCACCAAATCTAAGAACCGGGCTCATCCCGAGTAGGACGGGCCGGTTCACACGGTCAACGGGCCGGTTGGGGCCGTCAACGGGCCGGTTCCGAGCCCAAAACCGGCCCGTGGCCGTGTCTACACCAAAGGATAAATTCTTTGTCTTATCCGCGCAGCGGCCACATAAAAAAGAAAAAAAGACATACAACGTAATGAAAACTACGACAAAAGCCATTTAATTCGTAAATCAAATCAAACATTCATGTTTTTTTCTTGTATATATCAAGAAATCCATTTTTTTTTCTGGAGGTACATAATTACATTTTTACATGTATATATGTGAGCTTATGTAAATATATAAAACAACCCCTATTGTAAAATGTATGAATTCTTTGAGATCTTTTTTTATATATATATATATATATATATATATATATATATATATATATATATATGAGATGCATAGAAAAGAACAAAAGGCTGAAAAAGAAAAATATATCATTTGGCATTTGATGATACCAAAAGGAATGAAGAGAAAAAAAGTGTTGTTAATGAAAAGGAATATAAGTAGAGCATATCTTCAGCTTTCAGACCATGCTCAGACAACATGTTTATTATGTATGGGAATATTTCATACTGTCCTCTCTCTCTCTCTCTCTACAGAGAAAAGGTTTTCTGATGAAAGGAACATGTAATTGAATTTTTTATGTTATATTATATAAACATAAATTAATATCTAATTTTTAGATTAAAAAAATATATTTATTAAATTAATTAATCTGACAGCATAAAATACAAGATCACTTTCTGTAAAAATCTTGTTTATCACTTTTTATTCTTTTTCAACAGTGTTCTTTTACGTACTCACTCAGCCTTTTCCACATATCTCAAACACCCTACTTTCTCTCTCTTCTCTCTCTCCTCTCTCTCTCCTACAAATTTAGGATTTCTCATTCTTGAAATTAAGTGGGAAAACAAAATGGGAAGAGCTACAAGGTGGTTGAAGGGCCTGTTTGGAGTGGAGACTAAAGAAAACGACAGAATGGAATATTCCGTTGTTCACCGGTGGAGCTCCGGCAATTCGGTACGGGGCCCCATTGTTTTGTGCCGGAATCCGGCGACGATACCGCCCAACATTACTCCCGCCGAGGCCGCTTGGCTCAGGTCTTTCTACTCCGAGCCCGACACGGAGCAGAGCAAGCACGCCAGGGCGGTGGCTGCCGCCACGGCCGCCGCGGCTGACGCCGCGGTTGCCGCAGCTCAAGCGGCCGCGGAGGTGGTTCGTCTCACTAGCCACGGCCGCGGCCGCGAAAAGTGGGCTGCTGCTGCCTTGATTCAGAGAGTGTTTCGCGGACACCTGGTAATTAATGAACTAATTTCTAGAAAGAAAAAAAATAACATTTTTTTTTAATGTTTGTAGTTTTTTTTCTTTTTTTTTTTTTGGGAAAATGGCAAAAACAGGCCCGAAAAGCACGGCGGGCTTTAAAGGGGCTGGTGAAGATTCAGGCGGTGGTGAGGGGGTTTCTGGTGCGTAAACGCGCCGCCGCTACTCTTCTCAGGATGGAAGCGCTCGTTAGGGCACAAGCTAGTGTACGGGCACTGAAAACTCGCCGGAAAATCAACGACGGCGGCGGAATTTTTCCTCCTCCGTTTCAGGCCCGCCGGAAAATCAACAGCGGCGAACAAAGCTTTCCTCCTCAATTACAAGCCCGAAAATCCTTGGTGAGTTTAACAATCATTCTAAAAAATGATCAATTACGGCTGAGAAATTACAAACCCTAACCTAATTTTATTTTTTTCAAACAATTGGCAGGAAAAATTCGACGAGAATGAATCAGTGGATAGCAGAAGGCTTTCGTCGTCGTACGACAGCCCGAAAATAGTGGAGGTGGATACGGGGTGCTGGCCGAAATCGAGATCCAGCAGGCGAGCCGCCAACAGCAACAACACGTGGATGTCGGATTCCGGCGACGAATCGCCGGCGAAAGTGACGTGTTCGCCTTTCCCGGTTCGAATACCAACACCCAGGACGAGCCAGAACACGGCGGAGCTAGAATGGGGAATCATCGGCGGCGGCGGCGGGGACGATTACAAGTACAAGTACAACGCCGCGGCGACGGCGCAAAGCACGCCTAGATTCGCCACCTATTCGGCCGTCGCCGGAGCAGCTACGCCGGCGAGGAGCGCCGGAGAAAGCCATTACATGGTGAAAACGCAGTCGTTTAAGGCGAAACAGAGGTCGCAGAGTGCTCCGAAACAGAGAACGGGCGAGCCCGGCCCGAATAGAAGGATTTCGCTCCATGAATTGATGGGGACGAGAAATCAGAAGCCGGGCCCACAAGCTGAAGAAGAAGAAGCCATTAATTTTAAGAACGCTGTAGTGGGGAAGATTGGCTTCTCTTCTGGCTTTGTTAGGCAATGAGACTTTTCACTAAAGATTTTGGTTTAACAATGTAAAAAAATCTATGGTTTTATTTAGGGATCTGATAAATGTTCGATCGAGCTTTAATAATATGGTTTCGATTATAAACACGATTTTTATTGTTTTGTATTCCAAATTTTGCGAAATTCGAAACATAGAACTTGTAGTTTTTTGAGGTAAACTTCTAATCCATGCAACTTTGATTTATTGAATTATTTAAAATTCATAATGTAACTCGTTCATGTATAACTTTGTCACACGACATTTCATCTAATTGATTTAAATTGGATCAGAAAGCTAATCCAAATGACTACAGTTTCGTGTTTCGAATTTTGCCAAAATCAAAATAGAAATATATCAAAATCGGGTTCGAAATTAAAACAATATTAATAAAATTTAAATAGCACAATTAATTATGTTGGATGATTTGAAAGCATTGTTCAATTGCAAAAACTTTTCTTAAATCCAAATCAGTTTATTCAAACGCAAGGTAGGTTCATTTTGATTAGGCTAAAATAAGGCCACCCTTCTTATGCAAGCTCAAATTACGAAAAAAATTCCATATTGTTTGATAATTATAATATCCCCTCAACTTTGTACAATGTTATGAAAAAAATCTTCATTCAGTAGGTAAATTTGACAACATAAGGATTGACTTGTAATACAGTATTACACAGTTGATGGTGATTATAATTACCCAAACATGAGAGATTTTTTTCGTAATTTAAGCATACATTTATATGATGATTGATATGAAACTCTTGTTTAAATTTAATTTTGGCCATGGAATATATTTGTTTTTATATTAAAATACAAGAGTGAGTTATATTTGGAATTACGTGTTACTGATCACTAGTACACTATACACTTGCATATAGTCACGAGAAAGGAAATTTACTTGATGGGCCCTAAATTTTTTAATTTCAACAATTTCTTATCCTATTTCCCTAAATAAAACCAATTTAATTAATTTTTTTTTTCTCACTAGTTTTTGTCTTTGTGATTCAAAAAGGAAACACCTGAATTTTGTGACAATAGTTTTAATATGTTCTAGAATTAGAATTCAACAGCAACTAGCTTGGAATGTCACTGTTTACACCCACGTGGCTTTCCATTTTTGGGCAAATATAAGATTTTTCAAATTTTTTTGTATTAATCAAAATAAGGTAATATTCAAACTTGACTGCAAATCTTCTGCTAAAAATAAACGGTACAGATATTTTCAGGGGTAAAGTTGGAAATTTAAATATAATTTTCTGAATTATTTCTGATTTTTCAAACGATGTTTTTCATTTCGGTCCAATCAAGTTTGAATAAATTTTAATTAGTAAATTCAACGAGCCTTTGTTAGGAGGCTTACAAATGTTGTTGGTAAACAAGACATACAATTATTTATTTTAAACTTTTTTTTTTATTTATTAAAGTTTTTTTAATTCTTCTGAATGATTGAGCACTTGGGCCAAATTTGGGTTCATTTTGAATTTGTGATCCCACTGTTCACCTGATAGTTTAAGCATGGTTCAGCCCAACAAGCCAATGGTTGGTTTATTTTGGAATTCTCCAGATTGCAATCCAAATATTTTTTCATTTCGATTTACGGAAATCCGGTATTCGATTTTTTTAGAGCGGAACTGGAATATCTATTAGATTCTTATTTCCGATCCGATTTTAATTGTCGAACATAATTCCAGAAATCTTGATTTTTTATGTTTCCTAATATCACACTTATAATATCAAGATTATAATATTATATATGTTATTACATTATATAGGTGACTAAAAGCTTGAAAATTCTGTATTCGACCGATTTTGATCCGAAAAATTATGATTTTAAAACAAGTTTTTTCATTTAAGTTTGCAGTTTCCCCAAAAGTGCTAATTTTGATTTGATCCATCCAATTTATACCCTTAAATCCCTAAGTGAGATTTTTTACTTCCACCGGTTTTATTTTGGGAGTTAGATGTCACACCTGGTTATTTGCGCCGGATGGATTCAAAGATCTATATAAATAACTATCCACTAAGCATACATACACATAAGTGTGTGTATGATTATGTAAAAATTCACGGGTCAAATCCACCCAGTGTAAATAACCAGATGTAGCATCTAATTTCCCGTTTTCTCTCATCCATCAATATTAATCACATCCAATTAAATCTCTCACACATATGCATAAATATATGTGTGTGTGTATATATATATTAAAAAAAAAAAAGATTGATACTTTACATCCCATAAATATGTATGTATGTATATATATAAACATCATAATAAATTCATACATTAATCCATTCAGAACCATCAATAAAAGTGAGTGAAATAAAAGGCTTAGCCTCTTGATCAGTAAGTTCTCTTGACCATGAAACTCTTCCTGCATAATTTGCTCCTGCCCCTGTGCACTTGTATTGCCCATAAAACACAGTCCTAAATTAAATTTGAAAAAAAAAAGTTAGGTATAGCTCATCACTTAATTAATTAATTAATTAAACCTTATAATATATATGAACCCTTTATTTATTTTTATTATTTGGTGGATATGGTTTTATAGGTATGCATTAGAGAGGTATATGACAAAAATGGACAGCATTTAGTGGATTAGTTGAGGTTTAAAATTTAGTTAATTTCGTTATCACATAACCGAAAGCGTTACAAATGAAACATCACGATTCTGTGGAAATAAAAAAAAAAAATCAAAAAGATTTGAAAATTGATATTGAAAAAGATTTGGTACATAATAAAATAAAATTTAATTATGCTTTGTAAAGTTCATATATTATTTTTCCAATTTTCAATCTATACATGAGTGGGGATTTTTATTTTGTTTGTGGATATATAAAGTAGGTATGGGTGTAAATGTTTTATGAATGGGGCAAAATTAAAATAGGTGACCGGCATACGCCAATTGGGAATATTAAGAACCTAAGGTCAACTAGAACAGATGCTACAGTAGAATCTCAATAAAAAAAATATTATAATTCGATAAAAGTGTACTAAATTATTAGCTCGATGAATTATATATATATAATATATACTTACATTTCACGAGAAGGATCACCCCAGTTATACCAGCCCTTGGGAATGATGATATTGTCCATGTATGTATAGGCGAAGACCACCCTTGAGAAAGGGCCCCACGCCCTCCCTAGGTACAGTGCGCCCGATCCGGTTACCTTACAGTTGACAAATGAAAACCCACTGTCGTCTAATATGCTGCTTCTCGCTTGTGCTGTTACCGCACCTATTATTGGTGCTATTGCATGCACTTGACAATTCTGCACCGTAGGGAAAAAAGGACGAGAAATACACTATTTCAAAAAAAAAAAAAAAGAAAAAGGACGAGAATTTTCAAGCTTATATACACCCATGTCAAATTTAATCGCAATCAAAGGCCGCAAGTCAGTCAGCAGTGTCGAATTCAGGATTTTATCAAAAGATAGTGTGTATATTTCTAGTATAGTAAGTTGGTTTTTTCTAATAAAATTTCAATTTAGACCTTCACAATTTTAAACATAACAATTTAACTTATAACAAATTAATATTGATATTTTATACAAAAAAGTCAAAGATGTGAGTGGACTTTTAATTTGTTTCATCTCTTGTTTCTATTGATGTTGTTTTATATGGTGTGCAATGACAATTGGGTATATCTCTATAACTAAAAAAAAAAAAGGCGAAATCCCTCGAGCATGCTTTTATTTTTTATTAATTGATTAATTGGAATTTGAATTACCTCAAACAAAGAGAGACCATTCCCGAAGATGAAGTCGACAGATCCTTCAATATAGCAATCTTTGTAGTAATGCCTACCCAAGTGATCATAGAGCGTGTCTTGTGCGCCCAAAAATTTACAACCCACAAATGCCGCCGTGTCGGCCGATATTCGGAATGCCACCGCTTGCTTCCCGACAGCTCCAGGTGGCGGCACCGGTGTCGTATTCTTCATCAAGAAAGAGATATTAATTATTCGTGCATTTCTTTTTTTTTGAAATTTCGACAAGTTTTTATTTTATATTTCTAGTAGCTAAGCTCGAGTACGAACTCTCAAACGCAACGTGCATTGCTCGATACAAATTAGTACCTTAAATGTAATGTTTCTGGCAATGAAATATGGAGAGTTGACTGCGAAAGTGGCGGAGCCATATGTGCCGAGGGGAATGCCTTTCGGCCCAAATTGTTTGGGCCGTATCACCAAATTGAACAACGGTTTTTTCTGCGCTTGCACCTTCTATTGTTATAAATGATTTCATTGTTGGTATTGTTACCTTTTCTCTGCAATATTTTAAATTTCAAATTAATTTCAATTTGTCACACTTAGTTTAAAAGGACAAATTTGTTTTTAAAAGAGACATAATTCACATGAGCCACTTGGCACTTGTTATTAGTCATATATAACTCACAAGAATCAAATGCCTAGAAAGGACAAATAGAAAACAACTCCCTTTAATTTGTCACCCCCTCCCATAAACATCAAATTGACCAACTCTGTACTTTACGAACACGTATTATATACGTCGAAATGTACGCCGGGCAAAAAAAAAATTATTCGTGTATGGATCATAAAAAAACAGACGTTGATCAGTGTATTTCACCCGGTTTAGCATCGTAAAATATCAAAAAAATACGAACACTTACGTGTAAACGCCTGCATGAATCTTGATGACGACTCTGACGAGATTGACGAGAGGGAGAGAGTCGATTGCGTCTTGAATTGAAGTGAAGTCTCCGAGCTGCGGATTTCTGTCGACGGTTAGAGTGTAAGAAGGGAAAACCTTATTCTTGGCCGTCTTAAAACGGGAGTGCTTTAGGCTGCCGACGAAATCGACCCATTTCAAGAATTGCTGCTCCGATTGCTCGACTTGTGTCGTATCCACGGATGAACTATTACCGCTCTTCCTCGGCCGCATGCCTTTCGTGCGGCATCTAACGCTTCCACTATTATTCATCAGTAGCAGCGTGACAAGAATTGTGACATGGAAAATGTGTTTGTAGTAAGAGGGCATTCTTGTATTTCTAGAGAGAGAAACAGAGGTAGAGAGAGAAAGGGGAATTTTGAGAAAGCAATGTTGATTTGGCAACTTGGGGATGAGTTTATATATATATATACAGAGATATGTATGGAAAGTTGGTTGTGTAATATTGAAGAAGAATGATGTATTGACATATGGAGTGAGAGATCACGGGTGATTCCACTAACATATATCAAATGTAGAGTTTTTGTGTGTGTGTGTTGTTGGAATTATTTCAATAATTATGTGGGCTCACATATGTGACGTAAATGTGTATGGCTATCTTAAAGAAAGTCCAAATTAATTGTGATCTAATAAAGGTTATTGGGTTGGACTTATGGGTATTAAACTATAATTATGGGCCTAATGTGTAGAGACAATTAGGGCTTAGTTGTGATTTATTGATGGGGCTGAATCACAATTATAATATAACTGGACTCTACAGTTATATAAAGGGTCGTGGTCCCCAAAGAAACGTAACTATTCCGTCTCTTCTAAAATCCATCGTTAGAGAGATAATTAAGGAAATGCGGATTCTTTGGAAGACATGTCCCAAATCCAGTGGAGATTCGAAGATTCGATTCAATGATGTAAGGTACGCTTCCGTGTTTATGTTTAGGTTTAATTCTCGTTGATTCAAGCATGTTGGTTCTTGGGAATTCGTATGTATGTACGATAAAATTTCTCACAAGTGGTATCAGAGCCACCATGTTTTTGGATCATCGGGAATTTATATTTTATTTAATTCTCTTCGGTTAAGTATGATTAATTGAAAATCTGCAATTTGGAATTAGATTTAAGTATCGTGAAATTAGTGGCTATAATCTGATGATTTTGTTTTGAATTAATTTTATTGTTCGATGTAAGATCAATTCAACCTAAAATTTTAATTAGGTTCTTCGGTTCAAACCCTTCGGATGAATAACTAAAGTCTAAAGCATGAATTTTATATTGAATTGAATATTATTATAGAATTATTCAGTTGTTCAGTTGTTCAGTTGTTGTCCTAATTCCGTACAGAATATTTCAGTTTTGGATTAAAGTTTTAAGGATTCATTCATTAAGAATAAGAATTAAGGTTAAAGGAATAAAATCTGAGAATTCCAAATCTGAAATTTGGGGCGGCGGCCATCAAGTCAAGCCCGCTGCACCGTCTTTCAGTACCACCAATTTCGGCCGTCGTCGACCATCAACCACCACCCCCTCACTTCTTTTCCGGCGTCCATTAGGTGATATGGGCGGATTGCGTGTGCTCATATTATTACTGATGTTGGGTGGCGTGATTGGCCTAAAGGGAAGCCGGAGCGCCGACGGTGGATTCCGACGGCGTTGATATTTGTGGGGTTGCGTGTTTCCGGCGGTGGTATGTGGTATTGGTGGTGGCGGTGGAGTTGGCTGAGGTATGACGGCTGCGGTCGATTTGCTAGAGAGGCAAAATTAGGTTGATAAAGTTCTAGCAAATTGCAACTTACTCCAATCAAGTTTTCTGAAATTACAAATTAACCCCATATTTGGGTAATTCCTGATTTTGGGCTGGGGTCAATTTATAATAAATAAAAATCTGATTTTGGGCCCAAAGCTTCCGAAAAATACATTTCAGTCCCCACTTTTAAGTTTCTCCCAAAACAGTCCTATATTTTTCGAAAATATATTATGAATCTCAAATTAAGTATTTCTAAATCTTAGGCCCCTTTTCACTCAAAAGGCATTTCTTTCAAAATTTCAATTCAGTCCTTTAAGTTGAAAGATTTTCTAGTTTTGGGGCAAGGGTAATTTTTAAGGAATATGAAGTTAATTTAAGTCTTGGGGCCGTTTAAAATATTTTGATTATTTTGAGGGACCGAACTAATATGTGAGTTCTTTTAAATTCATTTAAGGTTTTGTTTGGTCAATAAAGTAAAATTCATTTTGAATTTCAAATTCGGTTTTCTAAGGCTAATTTGGGGAATTTTCAGATGATAAAGATTATGCCGTTTAGACTTAAATTTTTGAGTAATGGGTCAAAATTAAGGATACAAATTAATTTTTAATAAGTTTTTGATCCATTGTCATTTCATCGTTATTGAGTCAAAATATGGATAGTGGTTATTATTAACCAAATAAGGATTGATTTTTTCAATATTTGACTCAAAACTTTTATTGAAGTCTAATTAAGTTTATTAATTTAGTTCCAATCCATATAATAAGGTTAGATTTATTGGTTAAAAATTTATTTTGGCCACTAAATCTAAATAAGGTTGAATTGTAAGCCCCACATAATCTTTAGCTCAAATTCAAAATAAAATTGGATTCGATGTTTTCAATTCATACTCATTTTTTTATGAATAACCATATTACTGAATTTGATTAGAAAACAATACAGTGAGGCAACCTTAGTGTTGGATACAGACTGTTAGCGCTCAGGTGATGTCTTTAGAGCCTTGGCGTTCAACAACGACTTTAAATTTCTAAATAATTTTTTGGGTACATCTAATAACTTGTTATTAAGTTGTCCGACTTTTAAGATAACTGATTGAAGCATGAAGCCACCAAAGTGACCTCTCTGTGGAGATTAGCTTATTGAGAATGTTAAGATGTTATGTATATGTGAATTCATGCGAATATTTAATTATACCCAAAGGTAGGTTGATATTTGGCCGAACCACATATGCAACTGTGGTAATAAGTGCGTGACAATTGTTAAGTTTCCATGTGAATAATAAGTGACATCCAAAGATGGGCTCATTATTTGACAGGATTTATCGTCAGCACTTGATTACTACAACGAGAGTGCCACTTACAGTTAATATTATTGTCCAAAGACATGATATTAATGTTGTGCTAGGCATCTTGAGATGTACTCCATAATTATTTAAAATTGAAAAGTCACATTTGGATTATAATGTGAGTATATTGGTTTTATTTACGTTCTCTATTTAATTTATTTATATGCTTACACATTATCTGCCTATAACACTTTGTGCTTAATTGCACAAATATTTTTATTATTACCTATTATGGTGCATAGATCTTGAATTTGTTTTTGGATAGAACAATAGAAGAACCTAGAGTATATTGTCGTTCTAATTATAAAATTTAAGATCATTATGTGCATCAAGTTTAATATTTTCTTTTGGGCATAAGGTTTGTTTAGGGGCTACGTACTAGAGGGTTCCTTAAGGATACGTTTTATTTAAAACAATAAAACTGAAATAAATGAAATTTTGACATTACTTGTTTTCAATTATGTATAAAGAAAATGAACATGAGTAAGCACATTAAGTAATAGTCTAATCTCATTTTTAACTATAGCACTTCAGTTAGTGTGGTTTCGCTGACTTGAAAGTGGATATGATTTATTTTTCTCTGTGAACGGTCAATATAAGGTTTGTTGTAAAGCATAAAGAATAAAACTTTGACCGTTCACACGAAGAATAAATAATTAAGGGAGAAACGACTAAGTGCTAATTTGACTAGTACATTTTAAGATCAATATTTATAATTGCAGTACATCTCAGGTACGTTGAATAACGTAATTATGTTTGTTTCTCACTTTAATTTGTTCTAAAATATATTTTGACTTTGTACCTAGACACATTTAGTGAATAGATCCTGGGTTACACTATTCACGTAAGTGTGTATATAAGGGTTAGTTACATAACCAATTTTCAATTGATGTTGAAAGATACATCTATAAAGGTTATGTAAGATATTTGGGATTGAGGCTATAAGGACTCTTAGGTTTTCCTTTGAATTTGAAATAGAATTTGGTACCATCATTAGATGGATTTAGATTTTCTCTTGAACAAATTCGGTTAGCTTGTTCATTTGAAAACATTAGGCTTGGCCTATTTCATAATTCAAAATTTAACCTATAATTTAAGTAAAAGTCTCTTACGTTAAAATCTTGCATAAGCAATTTAAATGGTACAAAATTTAAGAATAGAACATTCAAGGACATTCAAAGAAGTATGATAAGTCATTCTTCTTCACTAAGGTATATTTAGGAGAAACATAAGTGCTGCAATATATTATTTTTAAAAAGGGGAAATTTAAAATCTTTTAAGGATGTTGAGTTTGAGGGGAGAAATTTAGATTATAGACATTGTCTTTAAAGAGGAATCAATTCGATTCCTAATACTTCTTTTGACAATGTACATGTTTTTTATACTAGTCATTGTTTGAAAAGTAGATTTAGAGTTTTGATAAGACAATGTTGAACAATTCCCAATCAAGCTTTGGTAATAGTCACTTGAGAGCAAACTCAACAACCTTAAGAGGATAAGGCATTAAAGATGAGTTGAAATTTAGAATGACAAGACATTAGGATCTTATCGAAAAGCCATAAGCTGTGAATTTCTTTGGTTACAAATAATTGAGACCAAATGTAATTCAAATGGGCAATATTGAAAGATATATGGTACGTTTAGTCATTAAATATTTCACTCCTATCGACTCTATTAAGAGATTTATGGACACAAGGAATATGTTTCTCAAATAGTAATATTTTTGGAACAATAAAGTGCAACCATAAAATTTTAAAGATTTGAAGGATATTGATTGCAAACTAAAGTAGTCCATTAAGGAAATTAAAATTCCCGTTAATGATGTTACAATCCTAAGCTTATAATTATCTCATATGTACTTTGAGATAAATAAAGTTAATGATTGTACATACCCAAGGATCAGTGGGAGATAATCTCACAATAAATGAGGCTTGTTTAGTCTCATTTCAATGCCCAATAAATATTTTAAAGTAAAAGAATGTGCGCATTCGGTTAAGACGTGCATAAAGTTAGGCAGATATTTGAATAACCCTATAAAGTGGATCATTTAGCAAAGCAGCCAAATGGGTTATACAGTAATTATAGGGAATGTAAGTTATATACATATGCTCATTTATCAAAATCAGATATTTAGGGAGATCGTGTGGTTTATTCCTGATTTTTGATTTTTATGATGTGTATAAAGTATAGATCCATTTTGGTTAAAGTAGACCTAAGTGATTGAGCTATTTCGACATGGGTGTTAAGCAAACACTTTAAGCTCTTTTCACAATTGTTAAGAATTTATGGTAATTTTTGGCATCTTATTTTGGAATATAGCTATAAACATTTGTCACTAGGCTGCACATGTTTATTTGTATTAAAGTTATACGGTGACAATATTTAACAGCTATATTTTCGAACAACAACAAGAGCTTGTGAAAGTTCTTTGTTGTTAAAGGTACAAAGTGAATACATAGAGCATATTAAGACAAACTCCACAATTGCGGATCCGCTTACTAAAGGATTAACACATAAGGTATTCATGAGCATTGCTCATGTAGGTGTTATATCATTTAAGGATATTTTGGTTCAGTGGGAGTTATAAACACATTTTGGTAGCTCTATGATATGTTTTGGACACAATTTTGTGTATTAAGTTTTCTGCAGAAATAAAGTATTTGGTTGCGCTTTGTACAATTATGTTAAGGTTTGGTCTCAATAAAGTTTAAAGTAGGACCAGTTGGAAATAGGCATGTTAAGATCACATTATATGTAATTTCCATGCTACACACCATGATTTGATCTATGTCGTTTGGCTATATTGGTATACGTGATTACTGTTGGGTTTAGACACGCTCAATGTGACGAAAGCCTCTTAGTCCTATATTGTATGTCAATGACGGATGTAAGAACGTCGCAGCTAGTGTCTTTTTCTTGAGTCGTCCGACGCCTTTTTCTTTTTCTTTTTTTTCTTTTTTTCTTTCTTCTTC